GACTATATCGATATAAACGATATTGTCACATCTTATATCTCGTATGAAAATATATCGATATTTTTTAAACTCGATATATCGCCCAGCCCTAGTCAAGAGACTGAATGCCACTAATCGGACAGTCAGTGTCGTCATGGTTTTGTGAATGAATAAGCGTGGAAATTTTGGTAAAGTCTTTTGATCTTGATGGTATCTGGACTCTATATTTCCTGTGATCTAATGAGCCAATTGTAAGGCTAATTGTTTCCCTGGTGGTTGCTGTGTTGCAGCTGGTTGTTGATTGGCTGGAGAGCATTGCCAAGGATCAGATTGGAGATTTCTCTGATAACATCGAATACTACGCCAAAAATGTGTGCTGGTGAGCCCCTTTGTTTATTTATGAAAGCATAAAGCCCACATTGTTATGTGCATTAAAGTCTTCGGTGGGGTATTTGTGTTTTAGGGAGAATACTCTCCACGCACTGAAGATGAGAAGGAAGAGCGGCACCACCTTCACAGTCCCTCTGGTCACTGAGCTGGTGAGGCCTGTTACTGCAAACATAATCACATAATTTCTTTGTCCCCTATGTTTCTGAATGTGTTCATAACGTTTGTGTGTTTAGGACCCAGATGCCCCCCTCCGGCAGCAGCGCCCCCTGGCTGATCTGGACAGAGAGGACGATGCCCGGCTGCTGAAGAACCTGTTCACACTGATTAGAGCGGGGATGACCGAGGAGGTGAAGAGACATTGAGACGCACAGCAGGGGATAGAGGGGCATCAATAAACTAATGTTTTTATTAAAGTTCACCTTCCAGACAAATTCAACTTAGTGCTATATAAGACTGAAACCAGTCTTGAAACTCATTGCTACCCGGAGTGGGAACCGTAGTCGCATGTTCACGCTCTAATTCTCATCCCAGCCTCTTCAGTCAGGGTAACAAAAAATCAAAACACACTCAGTGTTTTCTTTAAAAGCTGAAACAAGTCAAGCTTTTAGTTGTGTTTCTCTCTGCTATGATCCAGAAAATATATAAGCTCTGAAGGATTTCCACCAGGAAAGCTGTAAAGCCCGGTGGCTTCAGGGTAATCAGAGGCAGATAATTTAATAGTGCACTTTATTGGTGTCGTGCTGGTGCTTAGGGTAATCTTATCTGAGACATCATGGAGGATCTCCCAATCTCTTAGGTGCACCATAAGGACAGGAAAGCTGAGAGGAACTTGGAGCACATAATGAAAAGTTTTGATGGTCTCTGGTGGATGCTGTGAAGTTTCATTTCCTGTTCATTTCTTCAGCTGTTTGTCTTTGTGTTTTTTCAGGCTCAACGGTTGTGCAAACGCTGTGGTCAGGCCTGGAGAGCAGCAACTCTGGAAGGCTGGAAACTCTACCATGACCCCAACATGACCTCAGGTACTGTCTGGCCCCAAAGCAACGAGCACAAGGAGTGATGTTACTTAAGTTTAAATATCTGTGCTCAGCCATCCAAAGCAACGAGAGAAATTCTGTAAGAAATCTGAGCCTTTCTGTTTTTCAACATAATGACACAGAAATGCTGCTGTATGAAAGAGCGGAATCTGTCAGCATGACAGAGATTAATTGGGAATAATCTGTAAGGAAAAACAATGTAAAATTACTATTTGAAGTTCAGGAAGCTTATTCCCCAGACTGACCTGTATGCATAAAGCAGAAATCTTGTAATTCACAGAAATAGCCCTTTTTGCCCCTCGGCTCTGAAAGGCTGATGGGGTGGTGACATCACAATGCTGAGTGAGTGCAACAACTCGAGAACGAAGTGATATAGAGCTCAAATTAATAGGGGCTTCTACCAAAAATCTCAGACTGGTTTGAATCTCAGTGACCTTGACTTCAAGGTCAAAGGTCCAGTTTTTTAAAAATCTTCTAAATGTGATAACTGAGGAGCAAGGTGACCTAGGAGTTTAAAATTGATGATAACAGGGGTGTCTACTAGGAGGCTGATAGTGTGTGTGTGTGTGTGTGTGTGTGTGTGTACAAGTTGTTTAAAAAAAATAAAAATATCTGTGGCAGATGGTGAAATAACATCTTTCTGTCTTTATGCCATTTAGTTATTTACCTATTGCTTAATAACTTTGGTGTAGTGTGAATGGCCATTGGGGAGGTCTGAAGAAACTTAAATTTGACACACCTGCTTTAATTGGAGAAAGGAAGAGGAACCACCATGATAATTACAATTCCTGAAGCCTGGGCTTGCTGCTCACAGTGATCATTAACTGTATCCATGTTTAATATGTACATCCACCATTGTAACAGCATTTATGACAAGAAATAAGGAAACGCAACAGGACCCTAATTAAAGGAATTTCTGGGACTTTTCCCACCTTTTTAAATACAAAGTATACCTGTACGATCCTTCTCTGAATGACTGTCTATTTGTCCTCTTCTCTCTGCAGGTGGTATTGAGTTGCAGCCAGTTGAAGGAAACCCACAAAGAGGGATATGGAAGGCCTGCTGCTGGAGAATGGCCGAAGAGGTACGTCATGCATTACCAAATGTGTGAGAAATAAGAAGGCTGAGCTTGTGTTCAGTCAAGCTTGAAAATGAGAAGAATGAAGCAAAATAAAATGTGTGTTTTAGGAGCAGTTAAACAGATATGAGAGGGCGATCTATGCCAGCCTGAGTGGGAACCTCAAACCGGTAATATAACCAGTTTCTGTGTTAATCAGAAATCAGCAGCTCAGAGTCACCTCTGTGTTTACGGTCAGTCGAATCTTAGATAATGGCAGACCTGACTGTGTGTGTGTGTGTGTGTGTGTTTGCGTGTTAGCTGCTGGCAGTGTGCGAATCGTGGGAGGACTGCGTGTGGGCGTATTTCCGAGTGATGGTAGACTCACTGGTTGAGAAGGATCTCATGTCTTCGGGTATGGCTCATCATGAGGTGGAGACGTTACCAAGGGAGTACCTGGAGGCCAAGTACGACACACACAGAATAAAATAAATAAATAAATAAAAAAATAAAAAACTGCTTCGTCTCTGATCTACTGCCTCCTCTTGCAGCTGGACCATGGAGAAAGTGTTTGAGGAGCTTCAAGCATCTGAGGCGAAGGTAAAACCGGTTCTAACTGAATGTGATTGGTGGGACATATTGAAATTGCACAGCACAGTAAACCAGTGTTTGTTTGTTTATTTTTCTGTGCGCAGAGGGTGCTGGAGGAGACGAGAGAGCATTATCATGTCATCCAGAAGTTTGTCATCCTGGGGGACCTGGATGGTAAGACCAGCTCTGACCCGACGGGTCGCATCAAACATGTAAGCTCCAGTTTCTCATGAACCCCTTTGTTTGGTGTCTCACTCAGGCCTGTTGGAGGAGTTTTCCGATTGGCTAACTGCATCTAAACCCCTCCCCTCGCACTTGCTGCGCTTCATGACTCACCTTGTGCTGTTCTTCCGCTCCTTGGGTTTGGCACTAAAGGTAAAATTCACGTTAAAGGTTCTTACTGGTCATTTTATGAGAAATTTTTCGCTTTAGCCTGTATTTAATTTATAGATACTGAGAGCTGACTGGATCTGATGTAATGTAACTTTAACCTCACTTTTAAATGTATCTTTCAGCTTCTTGCCTAAAGTAAAGAAGACAGGACTGACAAACTCTCAAAGAATAAATAATTAATCAACAAAACTGCAGACAGTGAATCACTTTTTCATTTTTGGTCATGTTTCCAGCCTTTTTTTTTTTTTTTTTTAAATACAAATTTTGAATTTTGAGTGTAAAGAATTGAGCTGATTGGGTGTGAGGAACACTGTGTAGTCCAACAAATGGGCTTTATGTTTTGTTTTGTTTTTTTATAACCCCCCCAAATTCCCCAAACTCTCCCCAAATCCTAAAAAATTCAGGATACAAATCTGGAGCCGCAGCAGAACTTCAATACCAGCTCATGTGAATGAGGCGTTCACATCGAGGATAATCAGTTTGTTTACGGGTTCACATTTTTAAATGTCGTGTTCCCGCCTCTCGCCTCTAGGAAGAGGTGTGCATTGATGTGGTGAAGGCGTACGTCTCCCTTCTGATCCAAGATCAGCAGACAGACCTTGTGGCAAGCTACGTCGGCCAGCTTCCCGCCGACCTTGCAATCTCTCAATATGCTGCGTTCCTGGAGACCGTCACCCAGCCGGAACTCCGCCCCCGCTGCCTGCAGCTCGCCATTGAAGCTGGTGAGACAGACACACACTGAGGTCAGTAAGAGCAGACCCTTTATCACTGAAAGAAAACTGACCATGTGTGTGCATAGGTCTGGATATTTCTGCCGTAACCAAGCTGGTGGTGGAGACTGTGAGAGAGACAGACGACACAGAGTTCACGCACCATAGCCAGACGCTGGAGACGGGAACTACGAAGGTAACGACCAAAGTGTTCACTTTGGATTTAATTTCTCTTATGAAGTCATTCCAGTAATTTGTCTAAATTATAACAAATGTAACTTTGCACACGTGTGGGAATATATTAGGGCAGTGTTTCCTAAAGTAGGGGGAGCGCAGAGCCATTGCATAGGGGGGGCAGTATAAATTTAAAACAAAAAGAATGCTTGGACACGGCTAGCATAATGGACAGGGTTTTGATGGGGCTTCCACACAAATGCAAAGCGGAAGATGAACGAACCTTTGCCACATATGTTTCCAAACCAACTTCCTTTCAAGCCAAAGACTAGAAAATATGGTGATGCATAGCTTGCCTTTGGCTTCACCTGCACCTGCATTTGTTTCCCCTGCTTTGGGAGCATGCACTGGGCTGTCCAAATCACGGACAAACAGTATCCCACATTCTTGATTTTTAGTTCACAAACACTTCTTATAATGAAATTTTGGCGATGTTATCTCTTTATACAGGAAAGTTACAGTGGGATACAAATAATATCAGGCTGATCCTGCCACAATTTGTTCCCCCGGTTAAAATAACAAACAGTATCCCACAGCTGTTTGTTTTTAAACCCATTTTGCACAGAGACATTTTTTGAAAAATGTATTGATAGTAGTGTTGAATAGTATTACACAGTAAAAAAACAAAAACAAAAATCAACAAACAACTGTACTTAAAGTAAATACACCATAATGATGGTTTGTTTTTCTGTTATGTGTGTGGTTGGAGGATGTGCTTGTGTATATTTAAAAAAGAAAAAAAAGGGGGGGGGCTAGCAAAAAGTTTGAGAACCACCGTATTAAGCCATGTGTCACAACTTTGGTTTAAACCTTTAAAAACTCTACATAAAATTTTTATGTAGAACATCTTAAAGGTAAACTGCCTTATTTAGCAGAGGTATGCAGAATGTTCCAGTGTTGGTGAACTGTGTGGAAATGGGAAAAGATATTTTGTGCCACTTGCACTTTCCACTTGCACTCCCTCTCCCCTCCTCTCTGGAGGGCAGAGGAAGGGGAAACAGGAGGACAAAGGAGGGGGCAACAACTAAGCTGTAGTGCCTCTTCACCTCACTGTGCAATACCTTTGTGCAATACTTTTGTAAATAGTCAACAGTGCAATAGACCTCAATACTTGAAATGTGCAATTCACTTGTATTTTTATTTTTATTCCTATTTATTCTATTTATCCCCTTGTATATTTTATTTATATTGTCTCTGTATTTATATATGTGTGTGTTGTGTGTTGTGTATATAATATGAATATTCTGTAACTTCTGTCGGTGCTGTGCTTTTTTGGAAATCGAATTTCCCAGAGGAACCCACCCGAAGGATTAATAAAGTTCTATCTAATCTAATCTAATTAAATTCAGCAGCCATCTGGAGATGGCTGGAGAGTGTGTGGTTTGACTGTTATGAGAGCTTCACGCTCTTGCAGGTAATTCTGCTCTTGGATCTGAATCCTTCCCGCTCGACTCGACTGACTTTTCACAGAAAGTTACCTGCGAGAGAGTGACTCTGCAATGAATACCTGCACCCTTGAAATTATTTAATTTGCTAAGGTTTTTTTTTTTTTTCTTGCATCAAACTTCTGACATAAATATTATTCCATATACACAAGTCTGCTGAGTCATTGATGCGCCGTATCTCCACTTTTCAGAATTAGAATACTTACATAATTCCCTTTAGGGATTATGTATTTTATGGCAGTTTGTTTGGAGCTGGCCTATATCAAACACAAGCAGAAACAATAGTATGAAGTTCAGAGAGATAACAGGAGAAATTCACACAGCTGCAACAACGTCTGTTTCCGTTTGACGAGTCTGAATGATGTTTTCTGTTCAAGCACGTCTTGATCAGACCAGTTAATTTAGGGTCCATATGAACAGTGATCTTCTAATCAAAGTGTTCATCAGGCTGAAGATGTTTTGTTCATGTAAACATGGCTACAGCGATGTTGTGCTCTGATAGGAGGACCAAAGGAAGATTGATGTCATTGATTGGCTCCTGTATGACCCTGCCCACCGAGCTGAGTCCCTGAAGCAGTCAAATGCCATCATGAGGAATTTTTTGGGTACTTTTTCCTTTTAGCTGTTTATTTATTGATGGTTTTGTTTGTTCCAATTAAATTGCGATTTAGTGGTCAGCTGACTTCCTTCGTCTGTCGTGCCTTAGCTCTGCAGAAACATGACGCAGCCAAGGCGGTGTTCTCTAAAGTCCCGGAAGACTCGATGAGGGAGATCTGCTCCCAGTGGTCAGGAATCAGTCAGACCACGCCGCTTCCTGCTGAGGACGAGAATGCCATCAGAGAGCACCTGTGCATCAGAGCCTATTTGGTCTGTTAGCAACACCTCTCTTCATGTTGTTTTTATAACCCAGTTCACTGAGATGTATTGGACTGAATGTGTGCTTTGATGGTCCTGCAGGAGGCCCACGAGGCGTTCACTGACTGGTTCAGACACAGTAGTTCAGCCCCACAGAAGCCGGCACCGGCACCCGAGGCCAAATTCACTGAGAGGGTAGCCAATGAGATGAGGGAAAAGGAGTACCAGGTATTTTTTTTTCTTCTAAATTTATTTTTTATTTAGTTAAGGCATCAGTGTTTAAAAATAAAAACTTTACCACTGCAGATGTTCCACATGTGCATTGTCTGGTTTTTCAGGCCTCACTGTCCGCCTGGTCCTGCCGTCTGGATGCTTTGACGGAAGATGTGAAAGAGAGAATCTACAATGTTCTGCTGTTCGTGGACGGAGGCTGGATGGTCGACAACAGACAGGTTACTGCTTAAATCACAACACACAAACTCTAAAAGATTAATTGAGGAGCATCAGCTACATTCATAACATGACCATGTGGTAATTTAATATTTGGTTGGTTGTGTTTTCAGGATTCTGAGCCAGACTCAGAGCGCAGCCACCAAATGGCAGCTTTGCGCTCTCTGTGTCTTCCACGCCTCAGCTTCCTGCTGCTCAGCGTGCTGCAGAGCTCCTCGAGACACCAGGAGGCGCTGCGGCTCGCTGACATCATCTCGTCTGACCAGCACTGCCTCTACCAGGTAACTGAAGCCTGCATGAACTTCCGACTGTTAACTTAGGTTTTCTTTGTCAGGGTATTACTCCAGGAAGCAGGTTTAGCTATCAACTGAGTTTGTTAATCCTGAGTTGAAGGGAAACTTTTTTTGTTCCAGAAAGAGAGTTGACTTCAACTCTGAGTCACTTACCATGGGAGCAGACAGGTTTTCTTCAGCAGGATCTTTTTCTCTGACTCCACCCCTCCTGCTACACCTGAACCGCCTGACTGACACTCAGTTTTATTTTCTCATTCATGAAGTCGCTGTCCAAGCCCAGAACAAGGCCATCAGATGATTTTACAAGCACTGGAATCCCATGGAGATGTGTTTAACATGCACACTTTTATAATCATTCGTCAGTATATGTGGACAGAGACATTATTGGACAGTGATGCCGCTTTCAGATTGTCTGTGCCTCTAAAATATTTACATGACTGAGAAACAAACAGATCTGTGCAAAGCTACAGATCACACTGATCAGTGATCTCAATGATCAGTCATTGATCGTGTTGTACTTAGTCAGTGATGGAAAAATGTCTCACAGCTGACTAACTGGAAAACGAGGCAATGTGGGATTTACAAATTTATGCCTAAGGCGCATTTACTGGAGTGTGCCAGTATTCTTACTTGTATTTATTTAGTTTTGTCCCTCTTGGGTTACAGCTGATTATTTACATTTAAAATCAAAAATAAAATTAGGATTCCATCTTCAGCTGATGAAAATTAAAGTGGGGTAAATATCGGGTAATATTCAAAATTCCTCTAAAACGACCCGTTGCCATGGTGAATCGTGGTATTGGAGGTCCATTTATGATGAAGATTTTCTTTCCCTACTTACGGACAGACTTAACTTGGGGTGAACATACTCGGAGTTGATAGATCATATTCACATCAGCTGTACTGGAACGTGAAACTCAAGTTTGTAGAAATTCCTGGTTTCTGTTTCTTTGTTTTAACTCTTTGTTCCTCTTCGCTTGCTCTCAGGTGTTTTCTAAGGAGGAGCTGAGGAGGTTTCTGCAGAAACTGAGGGAGTCGTCTCTCGCTTTGTTGGACCGAGGAGTCGACCCGCTGGGCTACGAACTGCAGCCATGAACGAAGAAACACACACACATAGCAGTGTTTAAAGCGCTGCTGATTTTTGTTTTGTTTTTCGATTGTCTGTTTTTTTGCAAAATAAAAAAAATAAAAGCCTGTTTCCTGTAGTGCCTTGTGTATTTTAATTAGAAGCAGTAGTACACGAGAGCTGCCACAGGTGCCAATTTGGGTTTTAAAATTAATATATGTACATATAAACAAATTCTTTATTTAAAAACTATACAGTTATTTATGTTAGAAATATTTCCAAACCATGTGCTACTGGGGTAAAATATACATCAACCTCAAAAATATGACTTGATTGTAACATGAATACTTATACAGCCTCCACTTCACCCCACACTTCCCACAGCTCTGGGTCATGTCAAAGAAATTAATAAAGCATGATCATATGTATAATTTTGAGGTAAAATAATTTCATAAAAACAAATTAGCAATTTACTGATCTTTTAACATGTCCTGCTAATGTAGACTGGTCTTTATTTTGAAATTAATAATTTATTCTTGTATTTATGTATTTATTTATTTATTTTTACATAAACAGGAATTTTATGGCCCAAACTGCTCAGATTGGATGAGTTTAATGGTTTTATTGTCGTATCAGTGTGTTTGGGGATTTGAATTGAGAAATTGTTGGCTTCCTAGCCACTAGGGGCGCCATCTGACTAAGTCACAGCCTTTGAGTGGCGAGCGTTGTAAACACTAAGTAGAAGTAGCTCAACTGTCCGGGAAATTGTTGGATTAACGTCGTTGTTGGATATTATTTCATCATAAGTGAATTAGAAATGTGCGTAAATAACAGCTAAACTTTTCTGCGCCAGATTTTAGCGCTCTAACTGCAGCAGAAGTCCGCGTTAGCAAGTTGATAGCATATTGTGGCTAGCAGGCCGCGGAGCCTCGGGGTTTCTTGATCAAGTTGACACGCGTTGAGAAGTAGCGCCGTGGACGCTGCTTTCTACCAACTCAAGTCCGTCTGCTCAATCCTGGTAAGATAAAACGATCACTCTAAAATAACTCTTTGTGCTTTAACACTAATGCTTTTGGTGGGTTTCTAGTCTCTGCGTTTTTTTTTTAAAATTACTGTTTAAATATACTTTTTACATATCCTTTAAAGCTTCAGCGTTAGCCGTCAATACCGCAGGGAAAATTGGATTTAACTGTTCAGATTGAGACGTTTTTATATCTGATTTATGGTAATGTATTACTAAATTTTGTTTTTACTTCATGCATAAAGTTATAAGTAGATGTGTTTTTATCCACTGTTAGCAGCCAGCAACTGAGCTCTTTAGTACCTCGTTCTGCAGACAAAACAATAATCAGCCTTTAATTTTAGCTCCTGAAGTCTGCGGTCAGTTTGAAGTATCTCCTCATTAATTTTCCTCCGATGAGTGTGAGATAATACAAATAGAGGTGATGAAAGGTTCCGGCCGGGCTCTCTCAGATCTGTGTGTGTAAGACACAAACTCAGACAGAGGAGAGTGAGCGGGACATGTCCGGGCAAACCTTCCTGCCTTTCTGAGTTGTCACGGTTTAGCAGCTGACTCACACAGCCGGTCAGCTGTTTGCGGGGAAAAATTACACACTCGAGGGCAAAAGCAAAGCCAAACAAGTACAAAGTGTACTGGCTTCACCTTGGCAGCACTTTTAGGATCCTTAAAAGACAAGAAGTTTATTTGTATGCAATATCAGATACTAGTGATGTGCTCATAAAAACAGAAGACATGGGGAAGTGGTGCACACAGGAACAACAATAAGATTACTCAGGCTGAAGTAGTGAAAGTAGCACTGTAAGATAATTAGTTTAAGCATTTTGTGTATGTTCACAGTTCAATGCAGATAAAGTTAATAATAATAATCATTCATAAAATAAGGTTAAACATGTTTATTTGCCTCACATTGTTGCATTAATTAGATTATCATAGTTGTGTTAACAATTTGTGTTAAATTTTATTACATGCAGTTTAATTTCTGGGTCTGAAACGGCAAACAAAGCTTTCTTCATAATGTGGTTTTATTCCAGGTGGAAGACTGTGAGGTACAGAGGCCACAGCCACAGCAATGTGTAGACAATGTGAAACAAAATCAATAGATTAGTAATTTAATAGGAAAACGGTGACCACATGCTGTTAGTAAAACAAAAACACCTCAGAAGTTAAATCATTACAAGAAATAAGAGAGTTAATAAAAGCTACATAGTTCAGTAAAAAAGCATAAAACAATCATCTTTATTTATCTCTGGATTTATTCAACTTAGAAAAAAAAGAAAAAACCTGAACAGCCAAAGCCAAAAACAATACAATTGTTTTCATTTTTGATCTGATGGATTTTGTGCTGTTAATGTTAATGAAATTATGTTGATTTGCTTTAAGATGGCTGAGAATATCTCGTATTCTCAGCAGTTTCTGGTGTGTTTGCTGCTTTAAATCAGAATCAGACACTTTTGTTTATCTGAAAATGAACATATGCAGACAGCGTTAAGCCAATCCTAAAGCTCAATTTTGAGCCCGGTTGGAGGTTTAATTTACCCAAGATTAATGGAGATTTTGATCAGATATTTAGCAGTAACTGTCAGATGCATTTCTTTTTTTTTCTTTTTTTTTTTTGTCAAATGAGTTGGGTGCCATCCCCAAAGAGCAAACCTGAACCTGGGAATACCACATAATTTGGCCCATACTAATATTTTTATGTCATGTATGTTTTGTTTTTGTTTGCTGATTATTCCTGCAAAAACAAAAAGGAAATCGTTATTAGAAAAATGTGAACTTTAAACTTATGTCCCTGGTCAGCTGGTAAATCAACAGATAAACTTATGGCTGTTTTTTGTTGAGCGTGACTTTTGAGTGCTGCTGTCATGTCTGGCGACCCCGGTGTACTGTGGTCAGGTTGGTCTTCTCCATCTCTGAGCCACTGCCATTTGTAGTTTACAGCTCTGAACTGTGTGGGTGCACTTTAAAATAAAGTCCTGCACCTCTGTGGAAACAGGGCTGTCTGTTTTTGCTTTGTTTTTTTTATTTTTACAGTTTCCAGCAAAGTCTCACAGGCTCTCACAGGGTTGTTGGAAAATTTAAAATCCAATCAATAAATGTCTTTTTACAGTAACCGAAAGAACAAGGTCCAGTCTTAGTCATCATAGTTAACCAGATTTAAACTAAAAAGTGTGAAACCACATTTTTGTTAATCAAAATAAAAACTCGATTTTACAGTGTTTGATTTAAAAGAAAGTCTGAATGGGCCTTTAAGACAACCTGTCTATGTTACATTATTTAACAGAAGTCTGTGCATTTCAAAAAGCTACATTTAGAAACAACATTTTAAAAAACAGTGTGAAACTAACACTGAAACACAGAAAAATATTTAAAAAAATATATTTTTGAATGTATAATAAAAAATAAACAAGGAAAAAAAGAACTGAAAACAGAAAATTAAACAAAAATAGAAATAGAATAGAAGAACTCTTATTTATGACTTATTTCAATATATTGTCTTTTAGGTCTAATTTTGTGTTTTTGACTTGAGACCAGAAAGAAAAGGTATATGTAAAAAACACTTTTGGTTGGAATAAATAATAAATTGGAGAATTAAGTATTGCGCTGATCTTCCCGGTTTCCTGTGCTCAGATCAAGCAGGTGTTGTGCCCCTGATTTGGCACTGGTTATCTGGCTAAGACTAGTCCTGGTTAGTGAGATAACCAGCACTCTGGTTAGTGTGGTTATGTAACTTTGATAGGATGAGTCAATGCAGACTAGCCCTGGCTTGTCTACAGAAGCTCTATGATTGAATCAGCTGTTCCAGTCTTACGAGTACAGCTGAGTCAGGGCATGATAGGCCCCAGTCAGACTAGGCCAGGCCTTTAAACTGGTCTAGTCCTGACATGTCTGAGCAGGTCTATAAGAGGCTGCAGCTCTGCCCTGCTCCACTCTTTCTGCACTTTATCTGCCTTTATTTGCACAAGATGAGCTGCTAAAACGGATTTATTTCCCCTGCATATACGTAAGGTAAGGTAGGGACTTCATTTTATTCCTTGAATACTGGAAAACATTTTAGACTTTTAACAGCTGATTAATTAAGCATTAACCTGGTGCTAATGCAAAAAGACTGGATGGTTATTGAGTTGATCTGTCTGTCAGGTGTTGTGTCAGGACTACACGTTTGTGTTGTTAAAAACAAGCAAAGATTCAGTAACTTTTTAAGCAAAACTGACACAAAAAGTTAGTACAAGCTTCTTTGAATGTTTTCTGTAAATATGTGTTTTATATCGGTAAGTAAATTCTGTTAAAGTCTGACAGTGTGATGTTTTTTACATTTTCTTGCTTTATTTGCCTGTTGAAAAATGTTGAAAAGTGACATTCTGCTCTGAATGAAAATTTGTGATGCACCGGTTATGAAATCCTGGCTCGGTATCAGTGTGGCTGGGAGCTTGTGCACATATCTGTGGTTATATATATTCCGGTTGTACATCACAGAAACAAAGAGATCTTCCTTAATTTTATTTTTATAGCTTTTCATCTTAACACCATGTCAGGTCACAACTGATCAGATACTGTAAATATGAGCCACTTACATCAGTAAATGTCCTGTTAATTACAGTCACAGGCAATATCTGCACTGATACCTGTGCTCCTGAGTTTACAGTTGAACTCAGTATTTAGATCAGATTATTGCTCAAAGAGGTTTCTGCCCTCCACAAAAATAAAAATCACCAGGCTTTAGGGCTGTTCGATATAACGATATGAAAACATCTATGGTTTCATGTTACGCTATTGTTTGTTTTGTGGTGTCGCTAAACAAGCTGTTTACGGCTAGGGCTGCCACAAACGATTATTTTTAGTCACCGATTATTTTTGTGATTAGTCGACTAATCAGATCATGCATCCATTGGATGTAGAACCTACAGCTTATTGCACCAGCAGCATCTGCTCTTTTATAACTATCATTAGCTTACAGCTTTAAGTGTGTAAGGTATGTGCTAACTAAAAATAAACACAAGATGATAGTTTATTAAATTTTAATGAAATTTGCAGATTGTTTTGGTGACGTTTAATAAACTCCTTGCTATCTAAAATATAACAGGACACCGGAGTAAATTCTCGAGCATCTCACACTTCTGATAATCAGCTGTCTGCTTGACGTTTATTCAGCTGTGTAAAAACTATAACTTTAATCTCAGCCAAACGATTTACTCAGGAACAAATAAAATACTAAAAAAAGCCAAACAATAACATTTTTAAGTTATCTAAGTGACTCATATATCATGTTTAACCTGAGTAGCGAAAGACGGCGGTGGGTTTGAAAACGATTTGCCGGAGTCCGGTGTTCTCACAGGCTCTAGTGAGCCTTGCCCCCGGCTAGCTATCGCGCTAGCTTTTGAAAATATGTGGTGTCTTGATAAACTGAGCCGATATTTGAGGTTTACACAGCTACATTCTCACCTGAAAATATGTTAAACGTTTATTTTGTGACCCAGAAAGAATAATAAGAGTAATATTAAAACTAACTAGCTGCCGCCATTGTTGGAAACTGAGCTGGGCCGCGCTATGAATTCTGGGACACAGCTTCTTCTTCTTCGGGGTTTAACGGCAGCCGGCATTTTTTTGTTTATCAAATAGGGAAATACACAAACTTCGGTCAGGTAGGGTGCCTCAGACTTTCAGGTGAAGATGCACTGATCCATTCCTAGTGTACAAGTACCTTGACTGCAGGTGTTTTCAGTACAGAATGCAAATCCCGTACCAGTCTTGAATGAATAAGCTGAATTTTGTAAATGCACAAATGATTATTTTTTGCTTTGCTGCATCACAGAGTAATGAATCTAATAATCAGAGGACAGATTTCAATAGATTGGCCATATTGATCTGCTTTTTCCATTACCGATATCTGATTCAAGTATCAGCTCGACACGTGAGTGGTTTCTTCAGTTAAATGATCCACAGTTGGAGGCTCAGCAGCCCTCGTCCAGGGCCGAGGTTTTTCCTCCAGATGTGTTTTTGTGTAAGCAAAATAAAAACACAGAAAAGGAACTGGCTGCTCTCAGTCAACACCAGGCGGTCGGCATGCTCTGTATATTTTAGATATTTTATTGTTTACTCTATTTAATTTGTAAAATATGTGTACACACACACACACACACACGTACACATACATATTTAGTATTCACATTCAGTAATATGCATACACTCTTATATTCATATAATTCTCAGATTTAGCCGTTCTTATATTTTGCTTGTTCTTATGTTATTATACTTTTGCACACCTCTGTTGCTTGTGAAGCTCGCACACAAGAATTTCACTCACATGTACTGTACCAGTGTACCTGCACATGTGATGTGACAATAAAAGTGATTTGATTTGCTTTAAACAAACCTGCATCATCTTAAAAGGTTAAATTAACTTTCTAAACCAGGCAGATTAAACACAGACGAAGAAGATGATAATATTTACACAGTAAGCCCGGGATTATACTTTCTGTATCCGGGTTTATATTGCAGTGCTGCAGATGGTGGGGGAGGACTTCAAAGAAATATAACTAATGCTAATGATGAATGCCTAATCTGTCTTACGCTGTGAAAAAGATTTACTTTAGGAGCGCTTTTTCCAAATCTATTATGTTTAAAAAATACTGTACTGGTTTATGTAATCTGTCATAATCTGCTGTGTGTTGGCGTGCAGGGACAATCAGCTTCACCATGTCAGCCGACAGTGATACCAACACCTGGACCACGGAGGACGACAACAAACTGGTGAGGGCGGCAAGTTCCCGACTTCTTCATGTGCTCGTAACTCTTCACTGACTGTGTGACTTAACGTTTTCCTCTCTGTGTGTGTTCAGGTGAGACCAAAGGTAGAGTTCTGCTCTTTGCTGCAGCACGCTGGAGCCACTAAAGATGTTTTCACCATGAAGGAGGTACAGCATTTCCATTTACTGCTCCACATTTCACCGGGAGCTTTGAGACGGTCTTTTTGTTGGCTTTGATGTGTGAGGGGTGTCGTCAGGTGGTGTTAGGACTGTTACCGGACCTGCATTCACAGACAGCAATGAATGAATGAACCCAGAACTTCCTTTACTACCACTGCCCCCTCCTGCCTAAAACACCTGCCTCATACTGCATTTGCATACTTTATGATGAAGCATTGCCACCTTGTGGTGAAGTTTGTAGTCATACGTTGCAGATAGTGCGTGAGATTAAATATGCTTTTTCTGTCCAAAAATCTGCTATCACAGCAACCAAAACTTTAGACACAGCTGTAATAAAATTGGCTCAGTAAAGTAGAATGCAGGATGAGCTCAGCAAAGTAAAAATTATAAAATGTGATATATATTGTCTCTGGTGGTGTTACGATTACATATTTAAAAATCGTTATCAGAAACGTGCATGTCATCTTTATTCGGCCAAGTTTGTGCACACTTACAAGATATTTGAGTCCAGTTCACTTTGCTCTTTGGCATGCAAAAAAAGAAAAATGTTTAAAAAAAAAAAAGCAGGATGTAACGAAAGACAGAATAAAAAAGCAAGTTGCAGAAAGTCTTAAGAAACTTTACAAACTATAAGTGGAAAACTATTTTAAGTGTTTGATTGTTCTTTTTGCTTTCGTACAGCTAAACAGGAAGCAATTTGCTCATCGCGCGTCAATAGCGGATGTTCCAGGCTCTGGTTGCCTAGGTAACCCCTTTATTGTATTTACTACACTGAACTGCGCTCTTATTCGCTTCAGTTGCTTCTCTGAAAGTTTAGAAAAGTCTGAAGGCTAGCGTGGGACCCGCCCACCCCGAGTTGCCGGAGGTGATTTCGCACGCTGTCGTTGCTGTCATTGACATTTGTGGTACTCGGTTGACACGTCACTGCTGGTTTCAGAAAGTTTCAGACTCTGCCGTTATTGCTGATATCGTGATTGTGACCAAGCTGCTCTTTTCCATGGTACACTGGTGTGATCGAGCTGCGTGGTAGCTGGAAATTACTGGTCACTGCGAAGATCTATTACCAATGTGTGTTTTGGCCTTTTAATGAAGATGGCGTGAAAAAAGGAGAACTTTGAGACTCACCCCAGCTCTCCTTTAGTTCATCCTCATGATTTTTCCAGGATTCCCTATTCGACTCCTTTTCCCTCTCAGTCTCATGTCTGCAGTGCTTCCCACATATAGACACTTTTTAATTTCTGGACAGTCCCCTTGCCCGTGGTCTTTTATTTTGAAGGTTAAATCCTTGTCATTTGCATCTCACTCTTATGCCAGTCTTCAGTGTCATTTTGATTTTCTCTTTTGCAGTTCACAAACCTTAGCTCCACCATCGTGGAATCCAAATGGGGGCAGTGGTCTTCGTTGTGTTAAGCTCTATAAACAGACCCTGCAGTTGTATTATTTTTTTGCACCGTTATTTATTTATACATTGTTTTGTTTTCTTTGTGAGCTCATCATCTGTGACTTGGATTTCTTTTTTCTCATTTGTTGCTGCAGCTTAGATGTTGAGAAGAAAACGCCCACTAACAAAAGCTACAAGCAGCCCATATTATTAGGATTTTTCATGCATATTAACGATTTTTGGTGCGTTTAAAAAGGAAATTTAAAATTTGTTTTGGAAAATACTTTACTAATAAATTCCATGTTTGCTCATCAAAAGCTCCAAAACCAACAGGAACATGCAGAGTTTCCAGTTTTGAGGCAAGATAAACGCTGTAATTATATGTGTGATCAACAAAGAACACCTGAACAGTGTTTTCTGGATGTAGAGAAAAGAGAAGAAACTCAGCTTATCCTTTTTCAGAGTGCATAACTTCAACTAATCTGACTGCAGTCTTGTAATGGTGGTAAAATTGCTGATGTTTAAAAACCACAATAATAAAACACCCAAATGTAATAATTAGCCTGTGCATCCTACAATCATCCCACGATGTATCTCTGTGTTTTTGCAGGTAATGTTCTACTTGGGTCAGTACATCATCCAGAAGCAGCTGTACGACCAGAAGCAGCAACACATCGTCCACTGCGCCCAGGATGCTCTGGGCCGTGTGCTGGGAGTCGACAGCTTCTCCGTGAAAGAGCCGCGGTGAGTGAGTGGTAGAGGATGAAGCTTTTGGTCCTTCAGACTCACTAAAAGGAAGAAAAAAAACCCTTTAAATAAAATATGTGATGTTTTCTTGTTTCAGGGTTCTGTTTGCAATGATCACCAAGAACCTGGTGGCTGTCAGGAGTCCAGGTAGGAATCGCATTTTGCACACGAGGCACATTATTAAATGGTCCGAAAATATCCAGTCTTACATCCCCTGAAGTGCCCACAGGTGGAAAGCCAAGGGGCTAAAATTGAGCTGTTTTGGTTCTG